TAGGCTGTAATGTAAACACTGCATTTTCTCAGAAAAGACAGTGTTTACAGCAAAAAGCCTGATGGTAATGATTCTACTCACCAGAACAAATACAATAAGCTGTAGTTGTTCTGGTGACTATAGTGTCCCTTTAATAATCTGTAGATACTACATGCTTATCTAAAAATTATGCAATAACAATACCTATGTGCTCACCACCCACCTTTTAACAAGTCCTGATATGATACAAATTAATAGATGAACTAAGGCCTCGATTTACTAATTCTGGATAAGGTTTTCAAATTATTTCATCTTTTTTTTATAACATTTTAAATATTTTGTTTTCAAAATATTAAAATGTATTTTTATATATATATATATATATATATATATATATATATATATATATCTCAAAATATAGAAATAGTCATATTTTTCTAAATAAATTGTTTTTTAACATTTATCCAAAAATATTAAATGATTTGAAATGCTCATCCAATTATTTTTTTACTGAGTCCAATAATTAAAAAAACAGATCTAATTATCATTCAATATTGACTATGACTTAAATTGTTTGGATTAGAATCAGAAATTATTCCAATATGTTATTATTTATCTACACAAATTCTCTGATTTTAATGGTGACTTTTACAGATAATAATTTTAAAACTTTTTTTTCTAACAGAATGTAATCACTTCAGATTCTTAATACAGTTACATGTTTATATACTTATCCATTTATGCAACGTATTATGTTTGGACTGGAGATACATGCAGTTGTCAAATGCTTTCTGAATGGTAGACACACATCATTTGTTATTGTTTTTTCTTTATTATTTTGTTACGGGATTGTTGGATTTAAAACTTTAGGTACCTGATTGGTCGATCTGTCTTATTACACGGTATTGCTATTTCAGGTGCTTACTCATAAATAAAGAATTTTAAAATAATAATAATTTAATAGCAAGCCAATTTACTAAGTTAATAACAAGAAAATATTGAATTAATAAGGATATAATAAAAGGTTCATGCACTGAGAAAATAACTAGCATATACAGAATTAATACAGATGTGATAGTCAGTCTGTATGCTTTAATGACTATTTAAGAGCCAGATAAAAGGACATAACAGCCAGTCAATACTGATCTCATATAGCACCCAAAACTGATTAAATATGTATCTAATAATCACCCAATACTTAAGTGATATTGATCTAATAAGCGGTCAATGCAGAATCAAATGAACTTAGTAACAGCTATTGTTAATTTATTTAGGCTCTAATAAACAGCCGATAATACATTTGTAAGCCAAAACTGAATTAAAAGCGATCTAATAACCTGTCAGAATAGGGATCTTATAATTCCTAAATACAGAATATAGACCTAATATCCAGCCAATATTGATTGACTAAGTCCTCAATTTAAATATTTTGGATAAACTTTACAAATCACCATGATCTGTTTTAAAAAATCAAATTATTTATCCATTAAGTTCCTATAAACTTTAATGGTGAGTTCTGTAGATAAATCATTTAAAATGTTTTTTTTTAACATGTTGTGATCATTAAAAAGCTTATACAAAAATATTAAATTGAAGCCATACATACAATACTGAAACAATAAGGGCATAGAAGCAGTTAGGCAACCATGAATTCAAAATGTTCTACAACGCAGCCAATACTGAAGTAACATTATTAATCTAATATTTAGACAATACTGAAATAGTATGAATCTAATCAGAAAAAAACATAAAATTAATCTAATAACCAGTCAATACTGAATTAATATAAATATAAAATTCAGAAAACAATTATTTAACCCCTTTATGACTACGCCTTTTAAAAAATTCAATAACCCAACAGAGAGAGAAAGCTTTAAATACAGTTTGTCCCACTGTTCCTGAAACAAAGAATAAATAAAAACTCTCTATAGGTGCACCCATACATATTATATATTGTATTTAAAGGACAGATAGAGCTTTCTTCTAATATCCAAAATCTTCACATAACATAATATTATGTATCACTAAAATATTGAAACAAAATAACAACTGACCTATAAATGCATATATCATATATTTTCTTATAATTTCTGTTCAACTATATGCAACTGAAAAATAGCACAAAAGAGATTTGTTTATTCATCTGGATTGTTATAATGCCTGATATGTGTAGGATTTCAATTACATTTTAAAAGTTACAGGATAATTATATAGCAAGGAATGAATTACGGTTTGATGTAGTGAGGCTGTAATGTTAATAGCAGTTAATAATAATATAGAATGATACTAAACACTACACTACTACTCCTAATAACAGTATAATACATAAACACTACACAAAAGTATATATATTATATTTTGTTTTATTGAGCAGGTAGTGATATAGTGACGCCAAAAACTTTTAGCGTAGCTTAACATGACCTGCGCAGAGGTCGTAGGTAGCTTTCAGCAGAATAACTATTGTCCTACGCAGGGGATAGGTCTTTAACCGTGTCATATATAGGAAAAAAACAACGCCAGGGTATCATGTTGCCATAGCGTAACATAACATTTGACCTGTGCAAAGGTCGTAACTAGCATATAATGGAATATCCATATTCCCACGGAGGGTATGGATCGTTAACAGTACAGTACATAGGAAAAGCAAGTGTCAGGTTATCATGGTGTCAATCATGCTATGTGTGTCGTTGTTACCCGTGTCTATGTATCTGGTGTGGATAGGTCCACCTTGTGTTCTTCTGATGAGAAGTGTTAACACCTGTCGTTGGTAGCAGTGCATTGATATGGGGGCGTTGCAGGAAGTATGGTATAGCTTACTGTCCCCGGGGTTCGGATTACTAGAGTGCTGTGGTGTTAGCCCATGATCTACTTCACTACCCGTGTGATTCGTGGTCATCTAGTATTATGGTCATCTGTGCTAGGTGGCTGTGCATAGCCTGTTTAGATCAGTCAGGCGTCCATGGTGTTAGATTGGTTGTGTTAGGAGGGGCGGGGAAGCATGTTGTAGGTAGGGGGAGGAGGCAGAGTGAAGGTAGAGGGGGAAGGGGTGTTCTTCACCCCCGGTCACCACTCCAGGCCACCCCGCCCCGAATTCCCCTCCCGTATTAGCCTGGTCCACGTGTCTCACAACTGACACCTGCCGCTCACGGGTCAGCCATGCGTTGTGCGAAGTAGTCCATGGATATGTGGCGTAGCCAGTAGAACCATCTCTGTGTATACCTGTCCCTGTCTTTCGGTTTTGTGACCTTTAGGTCTTCGAATTTCCTTGTGTTTTCCACCTCTTCCACCCAGCACTTGAGGGGTGGCATGCGTGGCTGTCTCCAGAAAAGGGGTGTAATTGCCTTGGCCGCATTGAGAAGCCTCGGTAAAACCGATCTTTTGTATACTGGTGTCGGCATGGTGGTATGTGCAGGAGAAAAGGGGCTGGGTGTGGTAGGGATTCATCTGACACCTCCTTCATTATTCTGCTGATCGATTCCCATAATGGTTAGACGAGAGTACAGCTCCACCACACATGGGTGAACGTGCCTCGTCTGCGGATATCGGGTATTGTGGGATCCCTAGCGTAATATTATCCCAGTCCACCTCTGTAAGGGACTCTTCGAGGTCTTCTTCCAGTGTCTGATGCACGGCGGTGCCAAGAGATATCTACCGGTAACCAGGTTCGAATAGATCAAGGATAGGGCTCTTGGTGGTGCCTCAGCCTGCATGCAGAGCGCTTCGAATTGTGTTAGGTCTCTGCGTGATTGACCAGGCGTAGCAGGTGATTTGTTCTCTTGCAAGCGTATGGAATGTATGGAATGTGTGTAGCTGTTTTGGGAAGAGATCTGTGAGTGGGAAACAGTGTATGAAGGACGTTTGCCATGCGGAGTGTTGGTATGTGTTTCGTCAGATGCGGGAGTGGGCCCTGGTCACCCGCTGGGAAGTCTGGGTTGCCCCTCAGTGGGTGTAATGGGCTGGGGTCCGTCATGAGGTAATGTTTTGGTGAGCTGTATACATTTGCTGTCCTTTTGATGATCCAAGGTAAGGTCCGTAGATCACAGCCGGTGCTTTCCATCTCCAGTTGTATCCACGGCTTGTCATGCATTGTTGTCGACCAACTCAGGATCTTGGTGAAGTGGGCTGCCATGAAATATTTTGTCGGGTAGCGCAAGTCCTCCTCAGAGTTTAGGTAACGTCAGTTGGGAGGTCGCTATGCGGGTGGACCTGCCTTTCCATATAAAGGTGCGAAATGCCGCCTTCAGTGTGTTGAAGAATGATTTCGGGGCCTCAATCGGTACTGTGTGGAAAACAGAGAGAAGCTTGGGCAGCAGTGTCATTTTTTTTGACTGTGTTCACTCGGCCCAGCCATGTAATTTAATATATCGCCCCAGGTGTGCAGGGGTGACAATGGCAGCCCTGTTGGGAAAGGGTCTGAGAGAGCCCCGTTGATCTGGATGCGGGCGGTGGGGCACAAGTATGGCATCTCAACCCATTAGAGGAATTTTGGCCCAACACCCAGGCCCTTGAGCATCGCAAACATAAGGTCCAAGTCCACCCTATCAAATGCTTTTTCTGCTTCTGTGGACAGGAGAAGGACTGGGTGTCTCATTCGTCTGGTATATGAGATCAGTTTTAGGGTCCGAATGGTATTGTCCCGAACTTTTCGGCCCGGGATGAATCCTGTACGGTCCGGGTTCACTATCGCCGGGAGTAGTGGTGTGAGCCTAAGGTCTACGTCCAGGACGGAGATCGGCAGCAGCTGGGGCCCAGCATTGGGTCTTTGCCCTCCTTCGGAAGGAGCATGATGTTCGCTGATGTGAAGTGAGCCGACGGTGTTGCTCCTTCCATGATGGAATTTAGGGCGGAGTTCCTGTCTAAACACCTTATAATACAGGAAGGGAAAGCCATCTGGACCTGGTGATTTACCTGTGTTCGCCTTCTTAATAGCCAATGGCAGTTCCTCAGGTGTGATTGGTGCCTCTAGGGCCTCAGAGTCGAGATATCTCTGTAAGTTCTCTCATCTGCGAGAGTCTGCTTCCTCACTGTTCGCCTCGACGTATGTGGTATAATCCCTGATAGTACTGTAGGAACGTTGCTGAGATTCGGTCGGGAAAGTGCTGGATTTGTTGCATGGAGTCTTTGATTTTTGGGATATATAGTTGGGTCCTGTGCTGTTTTAGGAGGTTCCCGAGTAGTCTACAGCATTTGTTCCCATGCTCGTAGATCATATGTTGAAAGTGCTGGAAAGCATGTTGGATTGCGTGGTTCAGGAATGTGGAGAGTTGGCCGTGTTTGAGCAGGAGGTCCTGGTATGTCTTTTTGTCCAGTGTGCACTTGTAATGCATCTCCACGGTCACGATTTCTCCACTGAGATCCTTGATCGCTTGCATCCAGTCCTTCTTGCGTTTGGAACAGACCGCAATGAAGCGCTTGCAGATAACCACTTTGTGGGCCTCCCAGCACATCAGGGTGGTGGTGTCTCCTGTTTCGTTGTCTGTGAAATAGTCATGAAGGATCTTTCTTGCCGTTTCCACCAGCGTTGTGTCAGAGAGACGAAAGCGGATGGGGAAGTGACCTGACCACATCATCAGTAGCATTTCTGACTCTACGAGGAGGTTTAGGTTGCTGTGAGGCATGAGGAAACAGTCCAGCCTCGTGCAAAAAACCCAGTAGTCCCGGCTTTGCTGGGTATTTGCCAAACTCGAGGGGTGACGTTGTAGTCAGCAGTGGTGTAAAAGGTAAGCCGGTGTGTCCAGCGCTACATGAGAGTAACCTCTGAGTCCCCATTTCTGTGTACCTTAGTCTCAAAGTGTAGCCCAAATCCCCCTGCCCAAGCAATGATGGAGCCCAACCACCTTGTACGGTCCATGCGCAACTCAGGCGACCATTGTCCCTCCCGTATGAGTACTCACTTTGTGCGGATCGTTGGGTCCTCTCCTTCTTGTGGGTATCAAGCACTGCGGTCTGTATGGAGCCATTACTCCTCAGGCCTGGCTTGTCCTGGCCGTTGTGCAGGGTAGCGTTGCTAGGCGACATTTCTCTTACCACGTGGGCCAGGCGATCAGATAGGGCCTCAAAGTCCACCGGTCTCTTTGCCCGGCCCATTTGCAGCGAGGTACTTGAAGAGGTGTGCAGTGTTTAGGAGATTTTTCGCTGGTGTCATGAGGAGCTATACGATTATGCTGCCATCTTCTTTGACAGCTAGATACGCCCCCACCACCCCTGAAAAAGTATAAATATTGTTTGTATAAAGTATATATGTTTTTGGCTCCTGTCCTGGCATTAATAGGTCTCAGAACATGTCCCATATACCCAACAACCAGAAAACGCTCTTATCCCATGATGCCCCTGTGCTGGGAGGAAGTGACAACACTTCACTTCCTCCTGGTGAACAGAGAGCCATGGCATGGGGAGAGATAGAGGAGGCAGAACAGGCACCGTAATGAGTGGGTTAACAGCAGGTCACAGTTACTAAGAAAGTATATAATAAGATTTGTCACCTGGGATTTTAAACAAGTCAACATAACCAAAAGTAGTGTGGTCACATAAAAACACCAGACAGGCTGTTACACATATTAAAGGACAATAACCATTGGAAATCTCACACTTAAAACCAATATACAAATTGTTAGCCATCAGTGTAAGATGTGTTGTGTTTGTACACCCTTCTTGAGAATATCTAACAACTCTGGATGTATTATTATTCTTACTCCAAGATGGGAAAGCAATGTCGATTAAGACAAAGTATGCTTTAAACATTCTTGTGCTTTAGCTCAATTTGATCTATGAACCTGGTATCTCCCTCAACTAACATTATACAACAATAATGGTTGCTGTCAGCAGTGCCTAAAGTCACCTTGGCTAACCAACTGCTGTTGACCTAAGATTGGCTGACGATGGTCGTTATACCAGACCACAGCATGTTCAGTACTAGACATTGGGTACCCCAGATGGTCCTTGGACTCATACTGAGGGTCAATGAGCCATTCTGTCATACGAACATCCTGCATTAAACTGTTTTAATTTTATACAAATAAGTTAGTTTGAATACTCAAAGTTTATTTGCAAGAAGTAGTCATTTTATTTAAATAAAAATCCCCGTTCTGAGGCATGACTAATCACAAAAAATATAGAGATATTATTGAGGGAAGTAAGCAGCACAGTGAGTTGCATACTGACCTGTATACCCTGTGTGTTTGTGTGTTTGTATGTCAGTGCCGTGTAAGGGCTTCATGGGCTTGGAGCTAAGAGTTTTGATGGGCCTAATTATATGAGTATATTAAATGAACAATCCAAGCAGTATAACCACTACAAATGGATATAGTAGCAATGCTGCCAGGACTGCCCTTGCGCCATCTATTGTGAAAAATATATATTTTAAAAATACATATATTTATTTTACATTTTCATTTTCAATAGCGTTTCACAGTACAATGCAAGGAATAAACAATGTCTTGGGATTATGCCAGAGAAATACTGTAGGAAAGGTAAATGAAAGGCTCACTTCAAAGCCCAAAACAAGTACAATACATCACCTTGAGTGGGATAACAGAAAATGTCTTAATCAAAGGCCAACCAATGGTTGAGTGACTTTGATGCAACATTGGGTTCCAGTATGGCTGTCAGGTTTCAAAACTGACATGTAAGACTTTTTCGTTTATTACTGGCCCTTTAAGTGAACTTCATGATTTTCTCCTCTAGTGGCCTCCCTAGCCACTAATCTATTCACTCACCTTAATAAACTCATCTGGATTAACTAATTAGGAGGCTTGATAAGTCTACTGCCGGCACACAACAGTGCCTTGACATTGAAGTCTATGCTCTGATAAAGAATCTCTGTTCCTGGTAATATCCTGCATTTTATCTACATTATTTCATTCTGTAGAGAACTTACCTGCAGTGCCTCATCCTGTACTCATCTGCATTTCCTCATACTGAAAGGCACTAACCTGCATTACTTCATCCTGAACTTGCCTGAATTACATCTTACCGAAAGACTTTCCTTATCAGCTTCCAAATATCCTGATTTGTGGTGTATTGCCTTCATTGAAGAATCTTAACTGCTTCAATTGCTGCATCACTGCATGATCTCGTAAGCAACCTGCATTATATTATTTTGGAATATTCCTACCTGTTTCAGCCTCTGCATGATCCTGTATTGTCTTATTCTAAAAGGTATTTACCTATAACTAGCTGCATTGCAAAGTGTCCTGGAAATCCTTAACTACTTGGTATAACTTCAAGCTTGCTTGTATACAAAAGACTTTATTCATTTACTTTCTAAAGATCTTGTTTGTGGCATATCGCCTAAAGCCTGTTTTTTTTCTCACAAAGTATCCTGTTTGTGGCAGACTGCCCTTTATTCTTTATTTTCAGTAAATTTGTTATGTCGAATACGACAAAGTTTTAACCAATAACCCTTGCAATCGTCTCCTCTCGGACCTGCTCAGGAGCATGACAATGGCTGTGGGATTGAACACAACCACCAGATATCAGCTGACGGAATAAACATTGGCTGCACACTGTAATAACAAACTAGCAACTATGCAGTTATTGCTGTCCAGTCACTAATAAAATAAAAAAACAGGGGAGGATTTGGCACAGGTCCCCCCTGCAACTCCACTTGTGGGGATTAAAATTAAATACTGAACCAGTACTTGGGTCACTATTAGATAAAAAACATGGGTGGCTATCCTATTGTGGCCCAAACCATGTACAGTGGGTGGGGGCTACTAATTAATAAACATGGTGGAAAATCCTAGTGTCCCCCACAGCCCCACCAATGGGTGGTGTGTTATGTGCCAAACAATAAGATCAATCTGACAGTTTCACCTGTCTAAAGACCTAAATTTGAGAGCTGGTGAGACTCACCTGTCAGAGCATTCTGATTGGTTGGCTCACTGCTTAACAAAGCTGGCTGCTCATTGTTAGCAGACATGCCCTCACCTGCAGCTTGTTGGTTGGTGGTATTATACTCCTTTTGTAATAATATGGAGGTCACATTGACCTGAACGGGCTCTTTATTCAAATAAACCATCTAAACTGATAACATGGCTTACTGGGATCTGATAAATTCCAAATACAGATAATTGTTTCTAATTTAATCAAGGCCTTTGTGTTTTAAAATAAAGATTAACAAACAGAAAAATATGACAGTGAACAAAATGTTAACAGGGACCCAAGGAACAGGCAGTTACTAAAAGGTTTTGGCTAAAAACAAAATGGAAGGTAAAGTAACATCCAGGATATATATTTGTACTGGGTGTATACAGATGTCAGAATAACCACAAACAAAATTGGCCTGGTACCAAAGGAGTTTCCTTTCGCTGAAGATAATGAATTAAGTATGGTCTACTGTGCTAATAATGAGACTGGTTATTTAAAATGTGACATAAACAAAATAATTGACTAATAAAGATATTGTAGTTTAAAGACACCTACATATCTATATGTATTACTGTGGAACTCTGTTTTACACTCAGACACATCAACAATATGGAGTCCTAAAAGTGGGACATTAGGATAGAAAAGAGGGATTTAGGCCAAAACACTGATTGTTGCTCCTAAATAGGGACACTTGGGTGGAATTATGTAGTGACGATGTACAGAACCATGTTGCTAACAAAGCAATACATAATGGTTGCAGTAAATTAAATGGATGCTCCATACCCATTATAGCTGATTGTAGAGTTTATAGACATAGTAAGCTTCTCTCAATTGGTATGACAAAAAAACTGTGTATTCCTCAGCACCTAAAACTAAGCCTAGAGGGATATCACATGTTCACATTCTTTAATATCTACCCCAAATATGTTTAGGGGTAAACAAGATTTAACCATGCTAACTTTCTGTTAACCATTTTAGTTCAGCTGAATTGGCACAGGCTCTCTGTATGTTCTGGGGACCAGGGAATCCTTCACTTAGAAATTGATTGATAAAATCTGGAGAAATGTCACCCACAGTGTGCTTGCACCATAAACACTTCAATAAACTGTTACGGTGTATGGAGATTCCCTTTTATCCTGATCCAACACTGAATCACTAATAAATAAATATATCTCCACGCTTTTAAAAAAATCTTTGAAAACTTACTTCTTCAAGAAAGCATATCAATTAAACTGTGAACAGCTTTCCCTCCCCGCACCCTGATTCCTCTCCTGCAGCTGTCATCAAAGCAAAACACTAGGCGCTCAGTGAATACTATCTTAGCAACCTACGTTTCTACCCTACCCCTACCTTCTGTGTCACTATACCCCACTCCCTCTAGAACGTAAGCTCATTGAGCAGGGCCCTCAATTCCACTTTTCCTGTGTGTCCAACTTGTCTGGTTATAAATACATGTCTTTTAGTCCACCCATTGTACAGCCCTATTGAACTTGGCACTTTATAA